TTCTGCTGTAGTTGGAGATTTCGAAGTTAATTAAAAGTATACAAATATTTCTGAGATTAGAGTATCTGTTGTTGCTAACAGGAACTAAATTCATTAGCTGTTGATAGAAACCCGATTCTGACTGATGGAGATGCCATTACTAATGCAAAGTGCATAAATATTCTTAAGCGAAGAGCATCTGTTGTTGCCAACAGGAATTATATTTTTTAGTTTATGTAAGGGATTTTATTGCTACCAAGAAATATACAAGTATTCTGGAGACGCGAACATCTGTTGTTACCAACAGGAATTATGATCTTGACATAAAGTTGTGGAATCTGTTGCTAATGAGAACGAGGAAATTATTTCAGAGATTTATGAATCTGTTGTTGAATACAGGAATTAAATTCTTCTGCTGTAGTTGGAGATTTTTAAGTTAATTAAAAGTATACAAATATTTCTGAGATTAGAGTATCTGTTGTTGCTAACAGGAATTAAATTCATTAGCTGTAGATAGAAATCCGATTCTGAGTGATGGAGATGCCGTTACTGATGCAATGTGCAAAAATATTATTGAGCTTAGAGCATCTGTTGTTTCCAACAGGAATTATATTTTTTAGTTTATTTTAGGGATTTTATTGCTGCTAAGAAATATACAAGTATTCTGGAGACGCGAACATCTGTTGTTACCAACAGGAATTATGATCTTGACATAAAGTTGTGGAATCTGTTGCTAAGGAGAACGAGGAAATTATTTCAGAGATTTATGAATCTGTTGTTGAATACAGGAATTAAATTCTTCTGCTGTAGTTGGAGATTTTTAAGTTAATTAAAAGTATACAAATATTTCTGAGATTAGAGTATCTGTTGTTGCTAACAGGAATTAAATTCATTAGCTGTAGTTAGAAACCCGATTCTGACTGATGAAGATGCCATTACTAATGCAAAGTGCATAAATATTCTTAAGCGAAGAGCATCTGTTGTTGCCAACAGGAATTAAATTGATTATCTGTAGATGGAGATGCCGTTACTGATGCTATGTGCAAAAATATTATTGAGCGTAGAGCATCTGTTGTTGCCAACAGGAATTAAATTGATTATCTGTAGATGGAGATGCCGTTACTGATGCAATGTGCAAAAATATTATTGAGCGTAGAGCATCTGTTGTTGCCAACAGGAATTAAATTGATTATCTGTAGATGGAGATGCCGTTACTGATGCAATGTGCAAAAATATTATTGAGCGTAGAGCATCTGTTGTTGCTAACAGGAATTAAATTGATTATCTGTAGATGGAGATGCCGTCACTGATGCAATGTGCAACAATATTATTGAGCGTAGAGCATCTGTTGTTGCTAACAGGAATTAAATTCATTAGCTGTAGATAGAAATCCGATTCTGAGTGATGGAGATGCCGTTACTGATGCAATGTGCAAAAATATTATTGAGCTTAGAGCATCTGTTGTTTCCAACAGGAATTATATTTTTTAGTTTATTTTAGGGATTTTATTGCTGCTAAGAAATATACAAGTATTCTGGAGACGCGAACATCTGTTGTTACCAACAGGAATTATGATCTTGACATAAAGTTGTGGAATCTGTTGCTAAGGAGAACGAGGAAATTATTTCAGAGATTTATGAATCTGTTGTTGAATACAGGAATTAAATTCTTCTGCTGTAGTTGGAGATTTTTAAGTTAATTAAAAGTATACAAATATTTCTGAGATTAGAGTATCTGTTGTTGCTAACAGGAATTAAATTCATTAGCTGTAGTTAGAAACCCGATTCTGACTGATGAAGATGCCATTACTAATGCAAAGTGCATAAATATTCTTAAGCGAAGAGCATCTGTTGTTGCCAACAGGAATTAAATTGATTATCTGTAGATGGAGATGCCGTTACTGATGCTATGTGCAAAAATATTATTGAGCGTAGAGCATCTGTTGTTGCCAACAGGAATTAAATTGATTATCTGTAGATGGAGATGCCGTTACTGATGCAATGTGCAAAAATATTATTGAGCGTAGAGCATCTGTTGTTGCCAACAGGAATTAAATTGATTATCTGTAGATGGAGATGCCGTTACTGATGCAATGTGCAAAAATATTATTGAGCGTAGAGCATCTGTTGTTGCTAACAGGAATTAAATTGATTATCTGTAGATGGAGATGCCGTCACTGATGCAATGTGCAACAATATTATTGAGCGTAGAGCATCTGTTGTTGCTAACAGGAATTAAATTCATTAGCTGTAGATAGAAACCCGATTCTGACTGATGGAGATGCAATTACTAATGCAATGTGCAAAAATATTATTGAGCGTAGAGCATCTGTTGTTGCCAACAGGAATTATATTTTTTAGTTTATTTTAGGGATTTTATTGCTGCTAAGAAATATACAAGTATTCTGGAGACGCGAACATCTGTTGTTACCAACAGGAATTATGATCTTGACATAAAGTTGTGGAATCTGTTGCTAAGGAGAACGAGGAAATTATTTCTGAGATTTATGAATCTGTTGTTGACTACAGGAATTAAATTCTTCTGCTGTAGTTGGAGATTTCGAAGTTAATTAAAAGTATACAAATATTTCTGAGATTAGAGTATCTGTTGTTGCTAACAGGAACTAAATTCATTAGCTGTAGTTAGAAACCCGATTCTGACTGATGAAGATGCCATTACTAATGCAAAGTGCATAAATATTCTTAAGCGAAGAGCATCTGTTGTTGCCAACAGGAATTAAATTGATTATCTGTAGATGGAGATGCCGTTACTGATGCAATGTGCAAAAATATTATTGAGCGTAGAGCATCTGTTGTTGCCAACAGGAATTAAATTGATTATCTGTAGATGGAGATGCCGTTACTGATGCAATGTGCAAAAATATTATTGAGCTTAGAGCATCTGTTGTTGCCAACAGGAATTATATTTTTTAGTTTATGTAAGGGATTTTATTGCTACCAAGAAATATACAAGTATTCTGGAGACGCCAACATCTGTTGTTACCAACAGGAATTATGATCTTGACAAAAAAGTTGTGGAATCTGTTGCTAATGAGAACGAGGAAATTATTTCAGAGATTTATGAATCTGTTGTTGAATACAGGAATTAAATTCTTCTGCTGTAGTTGGAGATTTTTAAGTTAATTAAAAGTATACAAATATTTCTGAGATTAGAGTATCTGTTGTTGCTAACAGGAATTAAATTCATTAGCTGTAGTTAGAAACCCGATTCTGACTGATGAAGATGCCATTACTAATGCAAAGTGCATAAATATTCTTAAGCGAAGAGCATCTGTTGTTGCCAACAGGAATTAAATTGATTATCTGTAGATGGAGATGCCGTTACTGATGCAATGTGCAAAAATATTAATGAGCGTAGAGCATCTGTTGTTGCCAACAGGAATTAAATTGATTATCTGTAGATGGAGATGCCGTTATTGATGCAATGTGCAAAAATATTATTGAGCTTAGAGCATCTGTTGTTGCCAACAGGAATTATATTTTTTAGTTTATTTTAGGGATTTTATTGCTGCTAAGAAATATACAAGTATTCTGGAGACGCGAACATCTGTTGTTACCAACAGGAATTATGATCTTGACATAAAGTTGTGGAATCTGTTGCTAATGAGAACGAGGAAATTATTTCTGAGATTTATGAATCTGTTGTTGACTACAGGAATTAAATTCTTCTGCTGTAGTTGGAGATTTTGAAGTTAATTAAAAGTATACAAATATTTCTGAGATTAGAGTATCTGTTGTTGCTAACAGGAACTAAATTCATTAGCTGTAGTTAGAAACCCGATTCTGACTGATGAAGATGCCATTACTAATGCAAAGTGCATAAATATTCTTAAGCGAAGAGCATCTGTTGTTGCCAACAGGAATTAAATTGATTATCTGTAGATGGAGATGCCGTTACTGATGCAATGTGCAAAAATATTATTGAGCGTAGAGCATCTGTTGTTGCTAACAGGAATTAAATTTTTCAGTTAATGTTAGGGATTACTTAGCTTTTGCTTTGGGGAAGATTACAATAGTTATTTCTTTGCGAATATTGTAGTTAATATTTGTTCAACATTACGGCTTAAGGTGTTTAGCAGTTTTAGAAGCAAATTTTTTTTTTAAATATTGCCAGGCATTATTCCATTTGACGGATATATATTTTACAGTAATATTACCAGTATATTGTCGTGCACTTTTCTCAATATTGGTATAAAATATTGATGCAATACTGTTGCAATATGTTGTGGTATTTGGGAAAAAATTACGTTGGGTATAAAATGTAAACAAAGTTTCTAGTAATTTTGTAATAGGAAATAAGTACTTTTATTGTAGAAGTAAAAAAAAATAAAATTTTTTTCTAACAATTCTATTAGAAAAAAAGTAGAATGAGCATTAATTAAATTAATTATTTAATAATTAAGATTAAATATTTTAATTTATACAGGAAAGTCTTTGGAGTACAACATTGCAAAATCAAAGAATTTTTTTAAACGCGATTCGTTCTTTCTTACAAAATGAAGTTTTTTAATATAACTTTAAGCTTAAATATTTACATTTATCTGAAATATTTTCTAACATAAAATATAACAGATAAATGTAAATATTTAATCTTTAAGATTAATTTAAACTTTAAGATTAAATATTTACATTTATCTGTTATATTTTATGTTAGAAAATATTTTAGAAAAGCAATTCAATATTTGACTATTTAAGTTAATTTTTTGAATTTACATTTTTGTTAATTAATTAATTTATTTTATTATTTATTTTTATGATTTTATTATTAATGTACTTGTTCATCTTCGGGAAAACATTATTAATTCTTACATACATAGAACTCATACATAATATTAAACATGTATCTGAGCATTACAAAATTAATGCGAATTAAATTAAAATTCATGTAATTAGAAAAAACGTAGGGTATAAATTTTAAAAACATTTTAATTTTACGATACTTTGTTAATTAAATGATTAAATAAATATTTTGATAGTTAAATTTAACATAAAACAATCAAAGAATCTATCAAAAAATTTATTTCAGTATTTTATAGAACGTATATACTTAAACTATATTAATATTAACTTGTAATTTTTTTAAAGTAATTTCATTACATTACATAAACAATAACTTAAATATAAATGATTATCTTTTATTGATTCGACTAGACGAGGAACGAGGGGAACGAGAACGATCTGATGACGTTCTTGGAGACTGTAAGTGTCTTTCTGAATTTGGAGTTAAATTTCGAGATGATCTGGATACTCTGCTTATATTTTCTAACCGACTTGATAAAGAATAAGGGGAACGAGAACGACGTGATGTCATTCTTGGAGACTGTAAGTGTCTTTCTGAATTGGAAGTTAAATTTCGATTGGAACCGGATGCTCTGCTTATATTTTCTAACCGACTTGATAAAGAATATGGGGAACGAGAACGACGTGATGTCATTCTTGGAGACTGTAAGTGTCTTTCTGAATTGGAAGTTAAATTTCGAGAGGAACCGGATGCTCTGCTTATATTTTCTAACCGACTTGATAAAGAATATGGGGAACGAGAACGACGTGATGTCATTCTTGGAGACTGTAAGTGTCTTTCTGAATTTGAAGTTAAATTTCGAGAGGATCCGGATGCTCTGCTTATATTTTCTAACCGACTTGATAAAGAATATGGGTAATGAGAAGGACGTGATGTCATTCTTGAAGATTGTAAGTGTCTTTCTGAATTTCGAGTTAAATTTTGAGACGTATCGGGTAATATCCTAGAGTTTTGCGATCGATTAGAAGAGGAACGTGGAGAACGAGAACGATGTAATGTTCTTGAATCTTTTGATGAATGTGGAGAGAAATTGGATACTCTCGAGGATTGTGAAAAATGAGGTAAATTTGTTTTTGATCGAAATCGGTTTGGTAAGTGTCGCGAAAACTGGGATTGATTTGATGTTGACGGTAGAGGTTCAAATCGTCTGTTTGAATGTAGTGAAGAATAATTAGGCAAATGAATGCGATCGGATAAGCAACTCCTGTAAAACAAAGATCTTGTATAATTGTTTGTTTCATTGACTTTTTTGACAAGTTTAAACATCTGTGAACGAATTGTTCTTTTATCTTTGGTATTTTCAGATTTAAAATGTGTACCTAAATCAGTTGATAATTTTCGGAAGGAAGGGGATTGTATTGTTGTTGCTGATAAATTTAAAGATTTACTTGACGTTTTTGACGATTTGAATAAGCTTGATAAATGTTGATTTGATGCATGAGCTGGAGATTCACTGTTAGGTTGTTTATTAATTTCATGAGAACCTTTAGATAAATTTTGTGGTGAGCCTGATAGCCTTGTTGTTTGGGTTGTAGATTCTGTAGAATGGTGTGAATTTTCCGATGATGACAGTACGCTTAATCCTGGAGAAGGAAGTAGATTTGATGTAGTAGATAAAAGTTTATTATTAACTTCATCACAGTCTTCAGGTGATGTTTGAGGTAAGAAGGACAAGCTTGTTTTCTGGATTGTTGATTTTGTAGGTTGAAGTAAATTTTTCGACAATTTCAATACGTTTGATGTTAGAGAAGAGAGTTGATTTGACGCATGAGCTGGAGATTCACTGTTAGGTTGTTTATTAATTTCATGAGAACCTTCAGATAAATTCTGTGGTGAGCCTGATAGCCTTGTTGTTTGGGTTGTAGATTCTGTAGAATGGTGTGAATTTTCCGATGATGTCAGTACGCTTAATCGTGGAGAAGGAAGTAGATTTGATGTTGTAGATAAAAGTTTATTATTAACTTCATCACAGTCTTCAGGTGATGTTTGAGGTAAGAAGGACAAGCTTGTTTTCTGGATTGTTGATTTTGTAGGTTGAAGTAAATTTTTCGACAATTTCAATACGTTTGATGTTAGAGAAGAGAGTTGATTTGACGCATGAGCTGGAGATTCACTGTTAGGTTGTTTATTAATTTCATGAGAACCTTCAGATAAATTCTGTGGTGAGCCTGATAGCCTTGTTGTTTGGGTTGTAGATTCTGTAGAATGGTGTGAATTTTCCGATGATGGCAGTACGCTTAATCGTGGAGAAGGAAGTAGATTTGATGTAGTAGATAAAAGTTTATTATTAACTTCATCACAGTCTTCAGGTGATGTTTGAGGTAAGAAGGACAAGCTTGTTTTCTGGATTGTTGATTTTGTAGGTTGAAGTAAATTTTTCGACAATTTCAATACGCTTGTTGTTGGAGAAAAGAGTTGGGTTGCCGCATGTGATAGAGTTTCAACGGTAGTTTGTTGCTTACTTTCATTAGTTAACAATTTTTCTCTCCCAGTTTCTGAGTCCGGAATGTCTGAAATATTGTAAAACAGATTATTTTGAATTGAACGAAAGCATGATTTAAAGTAGTTTATAGCTAACGTGTAATATTTTAAATTTTGAAGTTAGAAAAGAGGTCATTAGCTGAATACTAAAATGAACAATATTGATTGAGACAGTGATTCTCTTTTGCAAGATATAGCATATATGAGAACACAGAACATCTCTTATTATATGACCTTGTTTGATCAATTTGTTCTTAAATATAATATACGTAGATTTTACATTTATAAGTAAATCTTAATAATATATATTTATAAATTATTAGTTTGCATTATTAATGAATTATAAAATATTTATCATTACTTCGAGAGAAAAGGTAAACAAAATTAAACAAATTTTCCTTATGTGAGTAAAGTCAAAGGGGTGAACGTTAATAGAGAAGGAATTAGTATGAGTAAAAGGAACTGGAAATGAAAATTTGAATATTAGGGGATTGGAAAATAACTCAGATTAACAATTTCTTTAAGGTTAAGATAGTTATGTAAGAAATTTTAGTGATTGGATAATTCTGGTGAAACTTGCTTTATAATTGGGTACTATATTCGCATCCAAGGGAAATGGACGTTATTTCGCTCGGTCTTTTTAGACTGAGCGTGACAGCTCTCCTTTTTCTTGGGTGCGAATATGGCAACCAATTAACCCATTAAGCCCCAAATGCACTGAAATTTTAGTCTAACTTCAAGGATTAATATTTTACAGAAAAAAATCTCAATTTTTCGGGAAACATACATTCAACGTATTTGAGTGTGCTCTTTCCAAAAATGATATAAAAAAGGCTTAAAAAAATGTTAAATAATGTTTATTTGCAAAATGACGCGATTTTTTAATGATTTTTCAAAAAATTTACAAATATTTTGAAAGGAAAACTATTTTTCCGACAGCCATCAAGTATATAAATAAGGACTTGATTGTTAAACTTCAAATAAAAAATATTCCCTTTCTTATAATTTGAAAAATCAAAATGGCGGATCCAATATGTCGACAAAACATTTTTAAAGTCGACAAATTTAGCTAAAAATGTTTACACGGACGTTTTAGTAATCGCTTATAACGAATTTGATGTTAAAATTTCAAAATTTAAGAAGACGAATCTAATATGAAAACCAAAAATTTTTTAAATTGATAAATTTCGCTAAATGCATTTAGAATACTATGTTTAGCTAATGCTTTATATTAATAAAAAAACAGCATAATATATGGAAGTAAAAAAATTTTTTTAAATTTTGAAAAAATTTATTGATAAATTAGAAATTTTATTTTAAAAATAAAAATTTTATTAATAAAAAACAGCATAATGTATAAAAAGAAATAAAATAATAAACAGGGTGGCCGCAGAATTTCATTTTCAAAATTCCCTAACTTTTCCCTGACTAATTTTTTATTTTCCCTGACTAAAAAATTTTTGAATTATTTAATATTCTGCATTGCTGATTGAAATTTTTATAATGCTTTTTAATGAATGAATGATTTCCACTTTTTCCCTGGCTTGCGCCACCCTGAATAAAATTAGGAATTAAATAGAAACAAAAAAATTGATAAAATATTTCAAAACAATTTTATAATTATTGCAAAAAACAAAAAAATTTTTTTTAAATAATTCTCAAAAATTATCTACTTCCCCGTGGAGAGAATCAAGTAACACCAATTAGGACTAGGTGGTTAAAGATGGTATTCTAAATGCATTTAGCGAAATTTATCAATTTAAAAAATTTTTGGTTTTCATATTAGATTCGTATTCTTAAATTTTGAAACTATAACATCAAATTCGTAATCAGCGATCCCGAAATCCCCCGAGTAAGCATTTTTATCTGAATTCGCCGACTTTAAAAATGTTTGATCGCCATATTGGAACCGCCTTTTTTATTTTTCGAATTCTGACATCAAATTCGTAATCAGCGATCCCGAAAACCCCCGAGTAAGAATTTTTATCTGAATTCTTCGACTTTAAAATTTTTTTGATCGCCATATTGAATCCGCCATTTTGATTTTTCAAATTCTGACATTAAATTCGTAATCAGCGACCCTGAAAACCCCCGAGTAAGCATTTTTAGCTAATTTGGACACACTTTAAAAAATTTGGCACATTTAAATTATTTTTTATAATTTTTTGAACTTCTCGACGCCATTTTGAAAAAATAAAAGTCCCGAAGAGAGGGGGAATCTTTTTTGTTTGAAGTTTAACAATGGAGTGCACGATTTATATACTTGTTGGCTGTCGGAAAAATAGTTTTCCTTTCGAAATATTTGTAAATTTATTAAAAAATCATTAAAAAATCGCGTCATTTTGCAAATAAACATGAATAAACATTATTTAAAATTTTTTTAGCCTTTTTTTATATCATTTTCAGAAAAAGCACACTCAAATACGATGGATGTATGTTTCCTGAAAAATTGAGATTTTCTTCTGTAAAATATTATCCCTTAAAGTTAGACTAAAATTTCAGTGCATTTGGGGCTTAATGGGTTAAAAAAAAAGTTTCACCAGAATTGTCCAATCACATCTTAATTTTTCAGAGCGCTCAGAGCGCGAACGTCGAAAAAACCTAAAATATAAATTTTTTAAAATTTGGGTTTTTTGAAGAAATTTTATTTTAAAATGCTCATAACTTCCTTAAAAATGCATCAATTAAAAAAAATTATATGTGTGTTTTTAACTGAACTGTTTGAATTATCTTTTAATTAGTTATGGTTAGTTAGCATAATATTCAGTAAATAATATAAATTTTACTATTATTTAATTATTTAAATCAAATAAAGATCAAACTTTATGTCGTTTTCTGATTAGTAACTATTTTTATCTTTCGCAATCTGAATTTTATTAAATAAGTTATTTATCAATTATTATTTTACTCAAACTTTCTTTAATTATAAATGGAATGATAAAATAGATTAATCAGATTTCTAAAACATTAGTTGAGGAAGAAAACAACAAATAAAAATAATTCTATTATTATTAAAAATATAATATAAATTATATTACCTTCTAAAGTCAAGGAAAAGCTTGAGTCAGATTCGAAACTATTAATGTTGAAAATTTGAATGTTATTTTCCTCACAACCTTTACAATTATTTATCACATCCGCTTCCTGACATCTTGAGTCTTGAGTTTCTATAACATTGTTAAACAAATTATTTTGAATTGAGAGAAATCATAAGCGGCTTAGGACTAAATATCATAATTATTTTGATTTCAAAAATGAAATTTCCTATTTCAGGTTGATAGTTGGCTAAATTATACCATTATTTATCAATTTAAACATTGTTCAAATATCGACAAAAGTTTTAAGTCTCTACCCAGGTGAAAAAATTCACGTGGAATTCTATGTGGTTCTTAAACACGTGGAATTTCGGATGGTATTTTGAAACAATTCCACTTATAAATACACGTGGAACTTGAAAAATAAAATAGAATTTTTTATTTTTATTAAACGGTTACATATAAGTAAACGTAAAAGTCATTTTTAAATTTTGAGACCCCTTATGGGGGGTTTTGCACGTAATACTATATATTAAGAAATTATTATCATTATACCTGTATTATTAAAAATTTTAATATTATATTTATTCATGAATTTTTACATGTACATATTACACATAAAATACAATTTTTTAAAAATTTCTAGTTACTTTTTTCATTTTCACCTTCAATATGTACGAAAATTTAAAAAATCATAGTAAAAAATGGCTAAAGTAGGTCGTTTAAATTAATGGTATTTTTTAAAAAATTTGTGGAGAAAAAGAGGAAAATTTTTTTTTTGATATCGTGAGTTTTGGTGTTTGTAATAGGAAGCAATCGTTATATTAAAATTCGTTATAACAAGATTCGAGTGTGATCAAGTTTTAAAAATATCAGTATAAGAAGAATAAAAACATATTTTTGCATTTAATAACAATATAAAATAAATTTTATTACCTTTTAAAGCCGGGGAGAGGCTTAAGTCAATTTCTAATTCGAAGTTATTGTTTCTGTTGGCTTGATTGTTATCTTCATTACTATTATTATATTTAGTTGTCATCTCTGTTTCTTGACATACTGATTGTCGAGTTTCTACAATAATGTTACACAAATAACTATTAATTAAAAGAAAGTATAAAACATATGAGAATTATTACCTTTTAAAGACTGAGAAAGGCTTGAATCAACTTCAAATTCGAAACTATTATCTCTGTTGACAATTTGAGTTTTATTTTTATCACTGTCTTTAGATTTCGTTATCTTCTCTGTTTCTTGACATCCTGATTTTTGAGTTTCTACAATAATGTTATACAAATCATTGAGAATTAAAAAAAGCATAAAACATATGAGGAAAAATTATTAAACTTTTCTAACATAAGGCCATGTGGGCAAAGGACGTTTTTTTTGGGTTTGAAATTTTCTCTTAAATAAAAAATGATTTCGGGTTAAAATTTTAAAGAAATGATTTAGGAGGGTGCAAGGCATATGGCTGTTCTACTCATTTACTATAATTTGACGCAAAAATAATAAAAATAAAGCAATAAATAGTAAAATAATGTATTTTATCATAGTTCATTCAGTGTGTATGCGCCGCCATCTTTGTTTTCATTTTCGTTTAAAAATTCTACTTTTTAAGCTTTATTTTTAAATAATTTAACGGAAAAAAATATTTTTTTAGGAGAACAGCGATGTGCATTGTACTCAAATCTATTAATCCTAAAAATTTTACGACAAAATATTTTTTCATTTTAGAGAAAGTTTGGTTTTCGCAAAACACATTTTTCCATACTAGGTCACGTGGGAGTTTCCCACATTCCGTTAAGGGGGAAAACTCGTGTAAAATTTTTTTTTTACAATAGCAATTCAAATGCTACCAAATGCGGTTAATGATGCGCGCGATATCGCTCTATTCTTTCCCTTTCTTGTCAATATATAAATTTCTTAATTGTCAATAGCAAGCACTATTAGCATGTGATAGGAAACTTTTGTTTTAGTCCAATAGTTGTTTTCGAACAAATAACGTCTTTAAGGAACACAGAAAAAAAGCTGGATAAATTTTGTTGCGGGTAATTTTAACCAGCTGCTAATTCACATAGACGGGGGCGCCCTCAACTAGGATAAAATTTGTTGCAGTTAATTTTTATACCGATTTTGGGGTAAAAATTATACTTTTTTTTACTGTGAAATAATGAAACACTACTTTTTGTATCGAAAACTTTAAACGCCCTTTTCTCAAAACGTGTTTTTTCACGCATTATGCAATGCAGCTTATACAATTGTTAACAAATTTTCATGCAATTTACTAGAAATATTCTTCTTTAATTTACTGGCTATTGCATGACGAACTGCTTTAAAAAAAATATTAATTTTTTTTGTAGTTTGTTTATAAAAAATTGATTTTTTTAGAATTGTTCCAAATTTTCAAAAAGAAATTTTTTAATTTTTTTTATGTAAAACATATTTGTGTACTTTAACGATAAAAATTCTATTTTTTGATTTTGGTTGAGACCAGTTGACAACACAGCGCAAAACCAAAGATCTAACTTCAAAGGCCTGTATCGCCGCCATTTTGTAATATTTTTAATTAAAAAAATTATTATACACAGTTTACATTGCACACTTTAAGGTATGCTTTATTTTAATTCAATAAACTTTAGTACTATTTTTAAAAAAATTTTGAAAAAACGTGCATTTACACGAGTATCTCTCTTAAGTAAAAAAAGTTTTTGGTTTAGATAATAAGTATAAGAATAATAAGAATAATAAGTATTATTGTGTAATACCATGTAACACTGTGTAATACTTCTAATATTGTGGTATTATGGTGTAATACTTTAAAAAATTTAAAGAAAATGAAGCTAAAAAATGTTAATATAAGTAAAAATTTTAAACACTTGTTTAAATGTAGCGGGGGAGTTGATGCTAAAGTATAGCAACTTTGCCATTGGTGTCGGTATCGAATGTTTACAGAATCAAATCAGAAGATGGTTCTTTAGTAATTGGCCGAATTTTAGCTTTTAGCTACCTTATCGGAATAAGACATCTGCTCCTGTAATTACACCGAAAGAGAATGCACGAGCTTAGGTTGTTTGTGTTCGTGGTTTAAGATAACAAAAAACCAAATATTAAACGTTATAAACATGGATGCTCACGGATATTATAATATAGAAAATTATATTTGTTTAGTTCCCTGTCCAAAGTTATAAACAAATAAGTTATATTTATCGTGTTTTTTAAAAGAAATTTCAAAACATTTGAAATAATAGTTATTTACGTTTTAAAAAAGAGAAATTTATTATTTTCTTTTATAAGTAGAGTTAATGTACTAATTGCGGCACGATTTGAGTCAAAACACCGTTGAAATAGAAAATTCGATATTTCTATTGTATAAACTCAATTTAAGACTTATTAAACTAAAAGGTTATGTTATTTAGATGTTAAAAAAATGTTTAACTTTATAAAAATCGATTATTTTAACAAATATGAGAAATTAAAACTAATATCGTAATTTTCTATTGCGGCGCGTTTGTATCAGTTTCGGTGACCAAAATTACGTGTATTTTGAAGATACTTTGCCTGTCGAAATTGGAGCCAATGAAAGTATTAAAAATGTTTCAATTACGGCCAGGGAAAAAATTTGATCTCAAATAATTTAATTAGTAATTGTTTAAATGTGCATCTTCATTAGTAATTGTATCAAAAAAAGATTAAAATAATTTTTTTTAATCATTTTGCAAGTTATATTAAATATAATAGTAATCGTCGTAATTGATGCACTTACCCTAATATTTAAAAATTATTATTTAATCACGTGAAGCTATTATTCAATTACAAAAAAATAAGTTTCTTTGTTAAAGACTTTAATCATATCTAAATCAAAACGTAAACATAACCTAAAAATTAAAAATGACTTATTACGGTGGCAATCCTATGAAGGTGCGATTACAGAATGCAAAGCAGAAACCCATGAGTGCAGTAGAGATAGAAAGATATCGCTATCCTCTTCACTGTCATGATTTTTTGCTTTACAATCTGCATTCGTGCCGTCATGGGACTGAGGCCTACGGCTCTGACTTTTTCTACGTGATTCAACTGTCAAACCACTTGCTTCTCAAGTAGGTATAGGTTATAGATGGTAAAGGGTTAATTAGTTGTTATCATTATTGTTTACTTATTGTTGTTAAGTTTGCAATAGTTAAGCAAATAAATTTTTACTTGAATTTTTTGTTGGTTTTCTTTTTGATCCTGTTTTACGATTGTTATCTTTATCCTTTATTCCTTCTGTCATTGATATTTTGTCTCGCAGGTTTTCAAAATCATGCGTTTTAATGTTCAACATTTCTATTAAAATATAAAATATATTTTGTAAAATTTCAAATGCAATATTAACATTATCATATATTATAATAAAAAATTTTTAAATGAAAAGTTACCTTTCTTCGGAAAATGAATGAAATTTTTGATGTGTTTTTCTAAACACAATACTGCATTTTTGATTGTCAGTCTAAAAAAATTGAAATTAGTATATAACTTCACATATTTGCTGGTGTAATTGACGTAATTTATTTAATCTCCCTTCGTCAAGCAGTTTACAGTTTTTTTTTAAAAAAAAACACTTTTTTTATGAGCCGATTATGAAAAAATTAATACTGTCCAAATTGAAAAAAATTGAAGAAACACAAATTACAAAAATTTTATAACAATTTTGCACAAAAACTGTTTATAAAAACCATTAAAATATTTAAAAATAGACGTAAAATCTTTTAATATTTATTTTTGAACTTTTTCAGTTGGATTACTTCTGTAGAAACTACAAATTTTTAAAAAATCGTATGTTTGCTTTTAATTCGTAACTTTGACACAATAAGGTACTCGAACATGTGATTTCAAAACATTTCTAATTTCTACTCAAATAATTTAATTAACCCTTAAAGAGCACATTATTCTACGAAACGAATTTTTTTATACTTCGTGCATCTATGTTTTTGGGGTCGTTGATAACGAATTTAATGCCAGATTATAATAATTAAAAATCGCGGGTCTAATATTGCGGACTCATTTTTTTAAATTCATCAGATTCGCGCTTGAAACTCGTTACTCGGATGTTTACGGAATCACTAATTATGACTGTCATCAGATTTAAGAATTAAGGTCTCTGTAAATATAAATAGTAAGGTCATTGTCAGGTTACAAGGTAATCTGACATTAAGGTTACAGTAATTTTACATGGTAAGAATAAATTATTAATAAATTAGTTTAAGGGCAAGTCCAACATGTGAAATGTAAACAAACATGAAATGTAAACAAACCATGCACATTTTTTCGCAGTTCTCATTTGCGTAGAAAATAAAAATTTTTCGTTTTCTTTATGAAAATGGTAAATTAATGTATTAAAGTTGGTTACTATACTTCATTTAACTAATTATATGAAAAAATAAGTACAATTATAATGAAATGAAAAGTGCACTGAATTAGCAATTTTTTCAAGGTTTCGAAAAAAAAACCATTTGAGTATATCTGAGGCACAGACGTTGAGCGCCTAGGTGGGAGAAGAATGTTGAGCCATTGGACGGTCACATCTTGGAAAGGGTAAAATTCTGAAATTTTACCCCTTCTCTCACTTTCTCCCACCTAGGTCCTCAACGTCCGTGCCTCAGATATACTCGAATGCTTAAATTTTTCGTAACCTTGAGAAAATTGTTATTTCATTGTACTTTTCATTTCATTATAATTATACTTATTTGTTCACATAATTAGTTCAATAAAGTATAGTTACCTAGTCTAATATATAAATTTACCATTTCCACAAAGAAAACGACAAATTTTTGTTTTCTACCCAAATGAGAAGTGCGAAAAAAATGAGAAAATTGCTAATTCAGTGTACTTTTCATTTTATTATAATGATACTTATTTGTTCAGAAAAGTTGTTAAAAGAAGTATAGTAACCTAATACAATATATCAATTTACCATTTTCACAAAGAAAGTTACAAATTTTTATTTTCTATTCAAATGAGAACTGCGAAAAAACTGTTCAAAATCTAAACAAATCATACCCATTTTTTCGCAGTTCTCATTTGAATAGAAAATAAAAATTTGTAACTTTCTTTGTGAAAATGGTAAATTGATATATTGTATTAGGTTACTATACTTCTTTTAACAACTTTTCTGAACAAATAAGTATAATTATAATAAAATGAAAAGTACACTGAATTAGCAATTTTCTCATTTTTTTCGCACTTCTCATTTGGGTAGAAAACAAAAATTTGTCGTTTTCTTTGTGGAAATGGTAAATTTATATATTAGACTAGGTAACTATACTTTATTGAACTAATTATGTGAACAAATAAGTATAATTATAATGAAATGAAAAGTACAATGAAATAACAATTTTCTCAAGGTTACGAAAAATTTAAGCATTCGAGTATATCTGAGGCACGGACGTTGAGGACCTAGGTGGGAGAAAGTGAGAGAAGGGGTAAAATTTCAGAATTTTACCCTTTCCAAGATGTGACCGTCCAATGGCTCAACATTCTTCTCCCACCTAGGCGCTCAACGTCCGTGCCTCAGATATACTCAACTGGTTTTATTTTTCGAAACCTTGAAAAAATTGCTAATTCAGTGCACTTTTCATTTCATTATAATTGTACTTATTTTTTCATATAATTAGTTAAATAAAGTATAGTAACCAACTTTAATACATTAATTTACCATTTTCATAAAGAAAACAACAAATTTTTATTTTCTACGCAAATGAGGAGTGCGAAAAAATGTGCATGGTTTGTTTACATTTCATGTTTGTTTACATTTCACATGTTGGACATACCCTTAAACAATATTTATGCGCAGTAGCTTCCTAAGGCACTTGAGGTTGCGCAGTAAATCCTATTAAGCCAAATCCTGTCAGGGTCTTACACCTATATATGAAAATACTTCATTTATGTAAAAAAATTATGATATATGATAGTAATAAATCCCTAAAATATTAACTTATTAAAAAAATTTGTAGAAAGTAGAAGGCGTTGAAGTTTTGACAACAATAATTTTTTAAGAAACATAATATTAAAGTAGGGTATCTCTCGCGTAATCGACGCAACGTTGCGTACACGTCGTGGTACACACCTATATTATTCTTATTTACTTCAGTAATAGCTCTCTGCATTCTACAGGGTTGAGACTGTCCCCAAAATAATGCCTGCATATTTTTTTCTGAAAGAAATTTACATTTTGAAAAATGGAACATCAAAGATTAATAAAAATTGAACATGTTTTTAAAAGGTATGAAACTATTAATTTAAATCAACTATTGAATATAATTTGTTTTAAATATTAACTTGGGATTAATCTAGAAAAATTATTTTCAATTTAACATAAGAGTGTTTAATTACACCGAGAGAAAAATCTGCCTTTTATAGTATAGGAAAGTTTACCTTTAACGCGCAAAACTTTTATATGCTATATATGCGTAATATTTGAGTAATTGTGGTATAAACTTCTTTCTTTTTACTATGAAATTTGTCTATGCTAATAAAGTAGCATATATACTATGTATCTTTAGTACGGACAAATATTATACTAAAAATTTTCAAATATTTGCTCCATTAGTAAGAAAAGTTCATACAAAAGTAGCAGTATAGTCTTTCATACTATAAAGTCTTGATTTTTCTCTCCGTGTACTTTATGATTTTTTATTACATTTTTTTGTTGAGAAACGCGTGAAGGGATTTTTTATTTTTTGCAACATTCTGAATCTTTTTTTGATGAGAAATTCTTAAAGGAAATTTTTTATTTTTATTAGTGAAATAATCACATTTAATTTATTTTTTATAAATTTATTAAACCTCAGAAGAAAGAGTTTCAAGCGAATCCGATGAATTCAAAGAAAATAGGTTCGCTATATTAGATACGTAATTTTTAATTTTCAAAATTTGATGATAGATTCGTAATTAGCAACCCCAAAAAACACCCAAGTAACAAATTGCAAAGAAATCAGACATATTTTTAATATATGTTTTTTAAAACATTGTTTTTTTATCAATATTTTATTTATATTTTTGTTCGTCATATTGGATCTGCCATTTTCAATTTATAAAATCTGATGACAGATTCGTAATTAGCGACCCCGAAAACCCTCGAGTAACAAGCATCAAGTGAATCTATATGTAAATTAATATACCACCAATGCGAAAAATACAATGATATAAAAAGTGAGACGTGTATGACCATGACACTTATCGAAAAAAGTTTTAAATTAGTTTTAAAGGGTTTTCTGTATGCTTTTGAAATATTTTATTTGTTTTTAGTGTTCCGTACACCTTCGGTATCATGACTTTTGCGTCCGTACCATCTACATGTCCCCCCTCCTTACGGTTATAGAAAGCTGAAATTTAGTACACACATGTATTTTTACATGTAGATTATTACAGGCAAAATATAGCCAATATGATTGAAGATGGTGATCATAGCGTTGTCAAGGAAAACTACGCTTTTGCCAAAAAATCCTCAAAGTGACTGTGTTTCACACCCCCTAGCTACCACATTATTCGACAGAGAGATCTAAATATACACAACGCGATTAGGTAAAGTTATAATTGAAAGAAGTCAAATGTTTTAGGAAAATTACTGTTTTCCTCCTTATCTATACTACAATTTTCGCTATACATGTATAATACAGAAAAAATGTAGCCAAAAATTATGAAGAAAATAAATCCATTAAAAAAAATGCTAAAATATTCCAATGTCCCCTCCTAAACTTCTACAAATTTGGACCTAGGGAAATACAAATTAGTATACATGTTTATTTTTACGTGTAGATTACAGGAAATATATAGTGAACATGGTTGAAGCTTACTGTTATAAGTTAATAAGGGAAGAATTACAATTTTTTATGAAAAGTGCTAAAATATGGAAATTTAGCACCCTCTAACTTCTACAATTTTGGATGTAGTGAGTTAAAAATTATTATACTTACGTATTATTACGTGTAGATCACAAGAAAAATATAGCTTATATGATTGGATGTCTCGGTTATGAATTATAAGAAATAGAAATTTATTTTTTTTAAATTGTCGAAAATTGACTCTGTCCCTCTTAATTTCTAAAATTGTGTAGCTATGTTCTATACTAAAGAAATTTAATTGGTGTACGGAACCCTCGGTTTAGAGCGAGTGCAACACGTATTTGCCCAATATTTTTATAATCAAATATTATTCTTAAATTTTATAAAATATATTTTGTTTTTTCAATTTAAAAAAATAATTATGGAAATACAGAGTCCAGAATGAGATAAATCCGACTTTGTGTTTGTATTTTTTCTGAATTAATATTTCTTCATTTTACAATTTGCAGTTTTTGTTGAGAAAAATACACAAATTTTCTTATGAGCATATTAATAAAAACTAAAAATATCCAAGTTGCAAAAAATTAAATTAAATATTTCTTACGCATTTTTATTCAACCGTTCTATGGTATCCTTTATATTATTATTAATAATTGAAGAAACATTCTTCCCGACGATACTCTCCCTACTTGCAAGAAGATTTAATTTTTCTAAAAAGAAAAAACAGGAAATTAAACTTTTTCTTTTCAGACATAAGAGATTTTCATAAGAAATCATAACAAATACTTACTACTTACTACTACTACTATTATTATTCATAATATCATAACAATACAATATTATATCATAACATGCTTATTTAGTTACTCGAAATCAAGAAAATAAATTTACACTACCGTCCGAAATTGTGCGAACTCTGCTTTTTCAACAACTATAAAACTGTTCAAATCTTCAAGAATATTAAAACTAAAAATTTTTCCTCTTTATTTTATTAAAGCTAATAAAATTCTGAAAGAAATGACACCTTGACAAAGAGAATATGTTAATTTTTCAATTAGATATCTAAGAAAAACCCAATTTTCAATGTTTTTACTATTTTTTTTATTTCTCTGGCAAAAATTAATATTTTTAAACGTTCTTAGGCTCATTGAAATCGTATTTTGTTATGCAATTCAAATTATATAAAACAATTCATGTACACGTTCTTCCCTAGCGTATGCAAACCGTGAAAGTTGGCTCATAAAATGTCAAAAAATTTAAATTCAATTCTACAATAAAATATAATGTTTAAAAATCAAGTAAATATATCATTCTAAACTTCTCTGATTTATGTAAGTAAATTTAAGATTTATACATTTTACTGATCATTTTTTGTCATATAAATATTAATCACAATTTTTTGACATTTTATGGGCCAACTTTCACGGTTTGCATACGCTAGGGAGGAATGTGTACATGAATTGTTTTATATAATTTGAATTGCATAACAAAATACGATTTCAATGAGCCTAAGAACGTTTAAAAATATTAATTTTTGCCAGAGAAATAAAAAAAATAGTAAAAACATTGAAAATTGGGTTTTTCTTAGATATCTAATTGAAAAATTAACATATTCTCTTTGTCAAGGTGTCATTTCTTTCAGAATTTTATTAACTTTAATAAAATAAAGAGGAAAAAATTTTAGTTTTAATATTTTTGAAGATTTGAACAGTTTTATAGTTGTTGAAAAAGCAGAGTTCGCACAATTTCGGACGGTAGTGTATATATTTGAATGTTTTGGTGGTTGGTGTCGAACCACCAGATAGTAAGAGTGTACTCGACGTATGCAATAATTTATCATTTTCTCAAATATATAATACGAGATTTCCTATTGTTCTTCAAGAAGAACAAAATTAAAGTATTATGGTCTCCTTTTTCGAAGATTTTTTCTAACCATTGCGATAAGTTGAATTTGGGATTTGGTATGCGAAAGGGACCCAAGATAGACATTTGGTAAAAAATTTTCTTATAAGTTTACATTGCCTCGTGGTTTCTTTTTATACATATAAACAAGAGAGACAATTTTCATTTCAGTTAGTAAAATTATGTAAATTTTTTATTTGGAATAGGTTCATATCGTAATAACCTCATTTATTTATCTTATAATAATATTCTAAAATGATTCGGTCGATACTGAGTTTATAAATAATTTTTATTGGCGTCCAAAAAATGGTATCATTGGTCCTAAGATGGACAGTCTGGTGGCTCTAAGATGAACGTAACACCTCAATTTCTTTATTTCATTAATTTTAAATTCTACTGCTTCTTAATAATGCTCTGAGACTCTTATTTGAAATTTTTTATTTTCCTAAATTGAAATTGTGTAGTTATCAATAGAGAATTGAAATCTGTCGATATAGTTACCGACAGTTCTGATCGTTATATGATATTTTTTATACAGCCATTAAAATTATTTTTTTAAAATATTATTTAATTTTTAACAATTAAAAATTGTTAAAACTTTCAAAAAATATAATAAACAAGAAGGGGTGGACATTTATATTACATAAATGTGATGTTCATTTCACGAACATTATGCTTCCTCGCAGAAAATATTTAATTTAAATTACATTAAAAAAAAATTTTATACTTTTAATTTAATTTATTTCAAATTCGATTTTGCATTTCCTGAAGAAGTTTTTGTTAATTCTTAAATTTTTCTTTTTCTTAAGTTCTTTCAAATAATTTATTTCGAATTTATTTACGTTTTGTTGACGTTAAAAATAACGATTAATTTTATAAATTTAGGTGAAATATATAGATCAATCAATTAGTTTCTATGTAAGGAATGCAATTTTGCGTAAAATTTTTGAAAATTTTGATTAAAAAAAAAGAAAAAAAAATTAACAAAAACAAAAAATTTAAATTTTTGTTAAAAATAATGATTTCATCTATAAATTTAGGTAAAATATGAATTTAATATAGGTTAAAAAATTCGTTTTAACGCAAAGAATACGTTTTTAAAATAAATAAAGTGAAATTTTTATAATAAAAAGCTTTTTTTATCAAAAAATGTATTTTTAACTTTTTGTAAAAATGGTCCCAACAAAAATTGTGTGGATATTTTTGAAAATCCTTGTGTCCGATTTTTGGTATTAGTAAGTAAGGTACTGCTCGCTTCTCTTTTTAAGAAATCTTGGCGAGAGGGGGTGGATGTGTCCAAAAGTAATTTGCGGAAATTGTGGGTTGGAGTCTACAGCAGCGGTAAACGCAAAATAATAAACACGGCCTTCGGCCGCGTAAGGTACTGCTCGCTTTTCTTTTTAAAAAAAACCTTAGCGAGAGAAGGTGGATATGGCCGAAAGTATTTTTGCGGAATTCGTTGGATCCTGAGTAATGGCGAATATGATACTATATTCGAGTCAAGTAATATATCTAACCATGACTGTTGTATATGTTTTCATTATCATGGTGTTTTTGGTTTTTTGGATTTTTCTCGAAAAATAATGACTTTTGATAAAAAATGCATAAAACATAAAATGTGTGTTTTTTTGAGATCTACAACTTTCTCTAAAACTTTTTTCTAAATTTTGCGTTTTTTACGAGATAATTGCAAAAAACCATGATTTTATGGTGTTTTTTATGGTTTTTACCATGATAATCAAATTTCCGCCAATTTTTACTACCATTTTCGTAATCAGCGCATCAAAATACGTTAGTATACCAAGTTTCATTAAGATCGGAGGTACCCCTACTTCGGAAGTACACCCTTAACTTTTTGAAAAAATGGTCCCAACAAAAATTGTGTGGATATTTTTGAAAATCCTTGTGTCCGATTTTTAGTATTAGTAAGTAGAATTAGCATGCAAAATTTCAGGGCGATCCGTCAACATTTGTTTGAGATAATTTGTACACAAGAAGCGGAGCCATACACACACATCCATACATACATACATCCGGACATTTGTTCCTCATGTCGAAATATAACTATATTAGTTAAAAATTTATTAAAATAATTGATTTTAAGAAGTTTGAAAATTGTCATCACTATAAAGCTTCCTACGAGGAAGCAAAACAGAAAATTGGTTTAAAATTCCTTATATGATTGTTTAATTTTTATTTTACCCGTTTTTCAGTGCATTCACTGAAGGTGTCATAATAAAAAGTTTTTTAATTGGAAAATTGAATCTTGGAGCCACTTTTTTCAAATCAAAATTTACAATTTGATAAAATTATGAAAAAATTGTTTGTTTGCAAATTACAATTTTTTCTTGATGGACAAAGGATACCTTATTTGTTGTACAACAGTATGCACTATTTTTAAATATCGTAACAGTTTGGTTCTGGAGCATAAAATCAAAACTATGTCCATATTGGGGCCCTCTCCCCTACATGTATTGTTAAACCGTCAATAGAAAATAATCAATGTTTGCTTTTTAGTAGATATATTTAGTACTAGATATATTAAAAATTAAATTTTAATTTCTCGAACACGGTGAGTCTCATTATTATATGTATATTTTTAAGTTTGAATAATCTTGACCTAAGAAGATAGAAATAGGAGGTCCAACTTGAGTAGTTTTACACATAGTGTACACAAGTCAAAAGCTGGTATAATGTGCTGTCATTTCCTCCACACTACCATTGCGCATATATGGGCATATCTCTAGAACTTTTAAACTTTGAGATATTAGAAAAATTAATTTTTTTTTCAGGGCACATTCGTGAAACAAATTTTATTGTCTTCAGTATTAATCAAATACTATAAAAAAATTTGCGTAACTCATTTTTACACATTGTTAGGCATCACAGTGGGCCTTATTGCAAAAAACCTGCCCAAAATCTCTACATGTGTTTAAAACTGACTGGAATTTGTAACTCGCGGATTTTTTTGGTCGCTGATTACAAATGCGACGTTAGTTTTTCAAAATTCAAAATGGCGGATCCAATATGGCGGACGACTTTTAAAAAAATTGATCGAATTTGTCTGAAATTTGTTACTCGGGGGTTTTTTGGGTCGCTACCACCTTTAAAATGATTTAATGCTACAGTTTCAAAAATTTTATGGCCTATTGTTTATTAAGTCATAAGTAAATGTAGTTTATAACAATTTTTGAATTTTTTAAAATCATTTTTTTAAAAATTTTTTAAAAAATTTTGTTTGCTATTTTGGATCCACCATTTTGAATTTTGAAAAATTAAGTTCAGATTCGTAATCAGCGACCCCATAAACCCCCGAGTAACAAATTTTAGGCCAATGGGATCAATTTTGTAAAAAGTCATCCGCCATATTGAATCCGCCATTATGAATTTTGTAAAACTAAGTTCAGATTCGTAGTCAGCGACGCAAAAAACCCCCGAGGAACGAATTTCAGGCCAATTGGATCAATTTTTTTAAAAGTCATCCGCCATATTGGATCCGCCATTTTGAATTTGGAAAAACAAAGTTCAGATTCATAATCAGCGACATCAAAAACCCCCAAGTAACAAATTTGAGGCCAATGGGATCACTTTTTTAAAAAGTCGTCCGCCATATTGGATTCGCCATTTTGAATTTTGGAAAATTTAAAATTCAGATTAGTAGTCGCAGCGACCCCAAAAACCTTCGAGTGAGAAATATCAGCCAGATTTAAACACATCTATTAGTTAATACTTACTTTTCTTCACAAACTATGCGTCGGACAGTTTAGGTTTATATTCATGATTAATTATACAGTTTTAATGAAGTGTGCAAAGGTTAACTATTTTTCTGTATACTTTTATAATGCATGAGAAGAGATTACAATGAGTTGGGAGCATTTAGAAGCAAAATTCAACATGTGCTTTTCAAATATGTGGTATTTTGATTTGAGTTACGTTTTAAAATTTAATGTTTGAAGTCATTGCATTCTTTGTGTAAAGGAGGCACACATTCCTGTATGGGTTCAAATTACTTCTTATTAGGTAGATAATATAATCCCGTTGTGCCGTTACTCAAAAACCTTCGTTAAAAAAGTTATATCAGTTTAACTGCTAACTTGTAGAAATTTTGAAAAAGTTGTCTCGCAAGTTTGAAGCTACATAGTTTTTATTCAATTTGAGACACATCATTGTTTCATGGATTTTTTAGTTCTTTACACTCCCACCGACTCCTATTGCAAGCCACAAGACACACAATGTTTCGTTAAAAAAGTTACAGTCTATAAACTAAAAAAACCAGTCAATATCACACACTAGAAACTGTCGATTTCACCACTTTAACTTACGTTCGTCATTTCCTACATAATGAAAAAAATTATATAACGCATGATACATTTAAAAAGCCCTATAATTGGTCAAATTATGGTATTGAAAAATTATTTAAAAAATTCTTAAGGTATCATAATGAGCGATAACATAAAGTTTAAAAGTTCTAGAGATATGCCCATATACATTTTAACATTTAAATGTTAAATGTAAGTTAAATCTAATTACATGCAAGAAGGCGGATATATTCTTTTGTGTGATTATCGAGTTTATACGTCAAAACTTATTCTTGAGAGTTTTTAAACGAGTAATATAAAAAATTCTTACCAATAAACTCTCCACTGGTTTTAGAATTTAATAATTTTGTTTTAATCAATTGATTAATTATATCGATCACATCATTGGATCTTTCTGATCTTCCTTCAAAAAGGGGAACAAATTTAGAACCCAAAATAATATTCTGGAATGTTTCGTCCACAAATTTTTGTGTATTTGTAGTTAAATTAGAAGAAACTAAATCTTTGGTTTCTATTGCAGCATTAATGTATTCATGTTTTGGAATCACTGGTAATGTTGCAAAGTAATAAAGAATATGTTCAGATACTGGACCAATATCCAATACTATCCATTTCTGTACTAGTACCTGTAACATGACATCATGTTATATTATATTTAAAAATTGTTTTATCCTAAATTAATGTAGACTGTTAGAACGCAAGGACTACATACAGACTACCACAATTACTCAACACACAAAAATTACGAGTGTAATATTTAATTTTATTGATGATACATGATACATATTTTATATTTTGCTGTGTTTAAAAGTTATAAATTTACTTTCTTATATGATGAAAAATCGCAACAAATTGTAGGGAAAGCCGATTGAGTATTAAAAAATTTTAAAGGGGAAAAACTCGTGAAAAAAAATTTTTAACAATTTTTTTTATTCTTGCATTAAAACTTAGTTTACTATCTGTAGAATATGATCCTACATTATTAATCTTTAATTTAAAGTATTTAAAATATATAGTATACATAAATTTAGCACTTCAAATGCTACAAAATGCAGTTAATGGTGCGCACGAGATCGCACTATTCTTTCGCTTTCTTGTCAATATAATTTTCTTAATTGTGAGTAGCAAGCACTATTAGCAAGTTATTAAAAATCTTAGTTTTAGTTCAAAAATTATTTTCAAACACACAACATCTTCAAGGTAATAGTTAAATCACTACTTTTTTGTAATAAAAATTTTAAACAAAACCAAAGAACAAACTTTAAACTTTATTTCCGTTCTAGGGTTAATTAAAAAAATTATTATACATAGCTTGTATTGTACATTTTAAGGTATGCTTTATTTCAATTCAATAAACTTTACCACTTTTTTGTAAAAAAAATCTTCAAAAAACGTGAATTTACACGAGTTTTCCCCCTAATAAAACTAAAGACAGTGAATGAACAATTCAGTGTAGAATATTGTGTGAATATTGAACAATGTTAACAAGTCTATGCAGACTCAATTAGTTAAGGATGATATATAAACAAACTTTTTTCGTTCTATCTATAACTGAAGCAAAATTAGAATAGACCCAGATAGTACGTAAGCTTGCAGCAACCTTGCGGCAAGCTTGCGTGCTGTCTGGCGAGGTCACCATTTAATTTTTATTTTCGTATTCTATAACATAGAAATTTGAGGTTCACGTAAATGTCACTTATGGCAGTGTGCATATATGCCCTGAATTTCGATCCGATTAATGAAGAAATAGCCAAATGGCAGAGTTATTACTAAAATCAAAAATAAATTTAAAATAATTATTTTTTCATTAATTTGAGTCTTCTGAATGTGATGGTGAGGTTTATTTTGCGATTTTTTAAGTGTTTTAAAAGTTAGTGTGTTTTTCTCTTAATATATACATTTGGGGCGAGATCGCCACCACGATATTATTATTAGCTTTATTCAATTTTTAATTATTATTAATAGAAGATTTTATTTTATATAACAAATTTGTGGTGAGAAAGCTCAAACGCAATTCCGATTCATTCAAATTGTCTAATTAAAGCAATAATTTCTGAAAACTGCAAAAAATTTGAATTGTTAATTATAAAAAATCTTATTTTCTAAAAGAAATTTAGTGTAATAAAATACTGACAATTTGTATTCATTTGATTTTTCCAATGATTTTTAATTCATTTTTAGGGTTTCGTGGCCCTGGGCGGAAAGCCAAATAGTTTCGCTTTGACGTCCGTCCGTTCGTCGTACACTAGTATGGTTGCCATGGTAACACTTACCACAGCAACTGTTTCCATAGCAACCGTTTCCATAGCAAGCGTTACCATGGCAACCGTTTCCATGACAACCGTTACCATGGCAACAATTTCCATAGCAACTGAAAAAGATATGATCTCGCCCCACACTATCACTACTCTAAAATTATTTCGTTAATTATTAATTATAATTATTATTACTATTATTAATTATAATTTCGTTAACAAAAATTTTCGTTTGTGTAATACTTTACTGCTTTACTTAACGCAATAAATTACAGAATATATATTTTTTCATAAAAGTAAATAAAATCTTGATATTTTGATCAATAAAAATTCACAGAAAAAACGCTTGACAAATTTTGTTACAGAAAAAAATTTTTTAAGCTACAAATTCGCTTGTCAAAGACAGAAAGTCTGTTAAAAATTTATTTCAAACATATCCCTATAATAAAATTTATTTGGTTGAGTCTCCTAATTGAAAAAGTAACGAAGTGACACTAGTTTGTAAATTTAACCATGAGATCATTTAGCCATAAGAAATATGTGACTCTAATTTTGTGACCACTATGTATTTCGTTTATTGCTTCCTCATGGAGGAAGTATTGTTTTCGCGAAATTTTTCGAACTCATTTTTTTGACATATCTTTATGTTTTTTGACCTCAGGAATCCAAAAATGACATTTTTAGAAAATGTCATTCCGTATGTGTGTGTGTGTGTATATACATTACATTTTCATAAATATCTCAAATTCTATAAGAGCTTTAGGGCTGAATTTTTTTTTAAATTGTAGATCTCACTTGGGGACATAAAATGAGAAAACTTTGGGATAAATTAATACATATTAACTATATTTTTTTTTACTTTTAAAATTTTTGAAAAATCGTTTTTTGCCCATAACTTGAAACACATGTTTTGAAAGTTGGGATGTTTTTACTTAATTTTGTAGAGTTTTTTAAGACGCATTTTTTGAGCTATTGACGAACAATCTGCTATCATTTTATCCAAAGTTATTGACATTTTAAAAATCATAAAAAATCGTTTTTTGCTTATAACTTTAAAAAAATGTTATGACACCTACAGTTTTCTTAGTCTCATTTTGTAGAGATTTTCAAGACGCATCTTTTGACCTATTAACGAACAGTTTACGATTATTTTATCCAAAGTTATTGACATTTTAAAAATTATAAAAAATCGTTTTTTGCTCATAACTTTAAAAAAATGTTATGACACCTACAGTTTTTTTAGTTTCATTTTGTAGAGATTTTCAAGACGCATCTTTTGACCTATTAACGAACATTTTACGATTACTTTATCCAAAGTTATTGACATTTTAAAAATAAATAATATTGAAAAAAACCTGTTTGCAGGTTTTTATCGCAAAATATCTCCATGAGGAAGCAAAGTGTTCCTGGAATGAACACAAAAATACATACTTCAACTTGGCAGCGGTTTTTTAATATATTAAACTGTGTAAACAATTGTTTTAACCACAAAATTAAAACGTGTCACCTTAACTTTTGTAGAGGCTAAATACCACAATTTTAATGAAATGATACATATATATGTAATACCTGAATGAATTGACACCACGATCCTGCATATTCTACATCAAAAACTGATGTAACATCATTTACTATTTCCGAGCAGTAAGGTCCAATAATCAGTTCAATATTTTTGAAGCAATCGAATTGATTTATTTGACTTAAAATCATTTGTCGCAGAGATGACGTTAAGTTGGAACAAATAGCATAAAAAGCTACACAAGCCTATTGAATAAAAATATATTAAGTTAAAACAATTGTTATTAAATTATAATTAGTCTATTAAAAGTGAAATTAAAAATATTATTTATATTTAAGGGAGGAAACACGTGTAAAAAATTAAAAAAAAATTTTTTGCATTAAAAATTAGTTTATTATTTGTAGAATGTGATCCTAGCTAACCATAGCTAACATGTTTTGCTGTGGCAGCTAAATATTAGCTACCAGAGCTAAAAATTCGCTATCCATATAATAGCAAACTCATTTTTCTCCGTGTACTTTCTTGGGCAATGTTGCAGCCCTGGAGAATACTTTTTAAACGGCATAATATAAAACTTTTTGTTAAATGTTTTTTGTTTACAAATTTTTCCAAAAAAACCATCTAAACCTGCAATACATTCGTATTTGTCGCTAAGCAAGATTCAGTGAAGACCTTTGTATATTCAATTCAAATCGTACCAATGAGTTTTCATCGGTTGAAAATTCAAATAAAATAACCAATTCGTCTATTGAATTTAATTGAACTGATGACTTAAATAAAAATAAAGCTCAAAAGTTTGTTCACAGAATTAGTACGAATAGAGAGTTTTGAAATTGAATACAGCTTTCAGGGTGGTCGCAAAACTTTATTTTCAAAATTCCCTGACTTCTCCCTGACTAATTTTTTATTTTCCCTGACTAAAAAATTTTTGAATTATTTAATATTCTGCATTGCTGATTGAAATTTTTATAATGCTTTTTAAGTAACACTTTTATTCATAAAGGAAAAGATAAGATAATTAAACATTGTTTGTTAAAAATTTTTTATTATATTTAAAACTTTTCTTATAAAAAAAGTAAATACTTTAACAAATGAAAAAACTGACGGCACCATTATAATAAGCTTTATTACAAAAACGTCTAAAAAAACGAATTGAATCAAAATTTCCTGATTTTTCCCTGATTTACAGTTTTTCCATGACTTGCGGCCACCCTGAGCTTTGTCGAATTCAAGAAAATTGCAATATAGCTCCAATTCGAATTTGTCGCTAAGCGGAATTCACTGAAGCCCACGGTACGTGTATTCATTTCAATTCAACTGATAGTGAATAACCGTAATAAATAAAGAAAAGTAGAACAAGAAGATACTTAAAAGTTAAAAACTTATAATCCGTATTAAAAAAATTTTCTAATTAATAAAAGATTAGTATGATAAATTTTAATAATATTTAATCTTACTTTTTTAGAAATTTCAATGCTTAAGGTCATGATTGTTATATCGAATTTTCGAAATGTCATCTGAAAATAATAACTCGATTATAATAATAATAACTTTAATATACTACAATATACTAGTTTATTTATCCGACATAAAAGACTCTTAGAATAAATAAATAATTTAATATTGAAAAGTCATCTTTATAAATCTTTAAAATTAATGTATTATTGTTGTACATTTAACTAGACAATCATAAGCGTTTAGGTTGTCAATAAATTAAAAAAAAGAAAATTTAGATAAAAGTTGGTAAATAAAAAGTTAAAACAAACCTTATAAAATTCATCGATATATAACACTGTGGTACTTTCAACATGCTCTGTGAGACTATCTGTTTGAATAATTACAGCAATATCATCATCATCTACAATTTTCCCCTTTGAAAAGTCTGAATCATTCAAATCGTTTAAAAAGTCACCAACAACTACGTGATTTAATCTTACTGAACTTCTCCATGAAGTCATCCGTCGTTTGAATCCGTCATAAGTAATTTTTAAAGTTGGGCAACTGTAACACAGTTTGCATATTACAAATAATAATAATAATCATTAGATTTCATAATAATACGAATAATAATAATAATAAGAAATTAACATAAGTAAAGGAAAAATGACACAAACATTAACATTAAGAAATGTTAATGAACCAGGAAATCCAAGAGGATTAAAAAAATAGATAAATCTATATCTGTAAGAAAATGCTTCAAATTTCTATATTATTTTAATTTGACATAGTGACAATTGTAATATTTGTCTTTTCTCTATGGCTTTATCCTGATTCTGATACGGAAAAAATTGAAGTTTGGCTGGTAAATAGAATAAAATGGATTCGAAATGTTTTCGAATACTACGTTTTGGTTTTACAACAATTTAATCAAGTTTTTATACAGATTAAGTGAAACTTTGGTTGACACCATAGTTATAGATAGGACATGGTTTAATAAGGGTAAAGAACGATTTTTTTACTCTCACAAGTTTTCACATTAACTTGTATAAACAGAAAGTTATTATCTGTATTGTCTGCAATCCAGGTAAATCCTTTTAGAGATCGATTTGTTTGATTGTCCGGCGTGTGCTTATAGTTGGAACCATTCGTTTACAAAAGTCAAAAGTAGTGTCAATATTGAGGATTTCTGGCTATCAATTTTATCGTCGTTAAAATGTACACTTTTGAAAATCTCTGTACAAGAAGATGTACATGTTCACCAGCTGAACTCAAACCAGTTCTGGTGAGAACATGTACAAGAAAATGTATAATTTCGGCACCAAAATTTGGAAAAAGTTCTTGTATCAGGACTAGTAAAAGATCTTGCACAAGATCTTATACAAGAAAATATATTTAATATTTGTATACAAAAAAATGTACATGTTCTTGTACAGATTCATTTATGTCTTCGTTTAGTAAAAATTAAAACTGTAAAGGCTGCGCAGTATTTTCTATGCACATGAAGCTGCACAATAATATGTACACGTAGAGAAATTCAATTTGAAATATTAGGCTTCAATACTAGTAATTTAAATCTCCTTCTTAATGTAGTCTACCTTTGCCGTTCCAGGATGAGAAATTCAGAAATGAATGATAAAAGGGGAAAAAACATGCTAATAAGCTTTACGTATCAAGGTTCATATACTTGCTTATAAGCGGTGCAAAGCAGATAAACATATCGAGGAAGAAAAAAGGACTTAAGTGTGAAACTGAATAACTGAAATCTTTTTGTAACCTAAATTACGATATTTATTAATCAAAACATTCATATTTCTTGTAATTATTATAAAACTAACAATTTATCATTCTTTTTGATTTATGTTTCTATAAAAAAAAATTTATTTTTACTTTTATTAGAATATTATTTTTGGAAACTAAATATAAAATTTAAAAATAAAATAATTAAAAATATTAGAATATTTTTAATTTTAATAAACTTCTTAGGAGGATTTTTATTATATTTATTATTATATTTTATTATCACAAATTTATCCCTAGTTGTGCCTATCATTGAACCCTTAACTGCTTAGAAATGAATAAAAAACGCTTGGATCTAACAATCCGCTTCAAGTAAACGATGATACACAGTTTCTAATTATTGAAAAAATGAATTAAAATAAATGTAAATGTAATAATTGTACTCAATTCTTTTCAACTTATAATTCAGTGCTCTTTCAAAGTACTAAAATGTACACAATTAATGCGACCGCTAATATGAACTTCAATTAAGATTAAATTTTACTCTAGAACTCGATCATAAAATTTATTTCATATAGTAAATCTTCTACGAGTTAAAACTAATCACGGAAACTGATAGCACTCACTTAAAGGAAAATATTAGCGATTACTAAGATGTTTAGGAATCACTTTACTTAATGATCATTACTAAACTTTTTGGGATAGAAACCTGAGATTTTCTATTTATTCCTACAGTAATAGAAATTATTCCAATTGTTATTAAATAAATTTTCTTGTACTTAAATTAAATTACTTACTTGTAAATTACTTATACAAGTTTTTTTGCCGCCAGGTGCAGTTCTGACCAATTGTCACTACTTTTTTTAATATTTCGGAATGTGCAATTAATCCGAAACAGTCCGGTTTAGAGTCTGGTTTCTATTATCTTGAATTAGTCCGGTTATGTCCAAAAATAGTATTATTTGTGTGACTAGTAAATCCGGTCTAATACAAAATATGATCGGACTGACTTCGGATTAGGCCTAGTTAATTCCAGATTCAATAGTTACAAAAATCGACCAAATTACCGATTTAGCAGGACTAATTCCGGATGACAAAAACTTAATCATAAATCGGATTATTTTGGAATTGTTCCGGATTTACTAGTAAGAAATAACTAATTAGTTCCGGATTTGACCAGGCTAATCTCAGATTCACTAGTTGCGTACAATCGGACTAATTCCGGATTAGATAAAACTATATTTGGATTCACTAGGTATTCACAAACAGTATTGTTTTCTGACTTAACCGGACCAATTCCAGGTGACAAAAGCTTGACCATAAACCGCATTGTTTCGGACTAATCGCGTATTAGTCCGAAATCAGTCCGATATTTTAACCAGGGCGTTATAGGGATTTTTAATAGGGTAATGAATCGATCAAAGCAAAGTTTCTGTTGAGTACTTTGAAGGAGAGACTGTACTAAGGTGTTTTGTTTTGTCAATAAAGTACGCGAAACACCGCTTGTGTTTGCTGCTATATATTCAGACAAGTTTTAAATAAATAAATATGGTCGAATCCAAATTTGAACATATAAAAAAGTCCATTTTAGCGATTTTATGACATTTAGTGATAGTTTTACATCAATGAAAAGTTTTTTTGATTAGGCAAAATCAAAAATATATTTTTTTAAATATTTTGGATTTAATAAAGACTTAAACATCAATGTTTTATGAAAAGTGTTGATCCTCTTTGTGTACTTTCACTTCAAAAATCAAAAATATAACCTAAAGTTTTTTTGACCTTAGTTACCTTTTGTCATAGGGCGTTACATAGATGTTCTGATACCCCAGATCAAGATACATTTATTTAATCGCTTGGTTGTGATATTAATTAATGTACAGTGAAACCCGCGTATATCACCTCTATGAAGTTGGTGTCGACGCTCAGCGTCGAAAATTATTTTTCACGAGACCAAAAATATCAAATCATTTTTAAAAAGGTTTTGGTCCACATAATGTCTTGAAAAGTATTTTTCAAGGAATTATTTGCACCGAAAATCTGTAAAAAAATAATTTGACATTTTTTGTCATGTGAAAAACAATTTCCAAATCCTCAACTTCATGGAGGTCGTATATAGGACCCGCATAATTCAATTCCCCGAATTTCCGATATACGTATATCGGACTCGCATAATTTGGATTCCCGCTAACATCGGATTTTTTTTCCGGTCCCTTGAAATCCGATGTACGTGTGTTTTCCTGTAATAAGTTTAATTAAAATTTTTATTCACCGTTCTTGGACTATTTCTATAATCTTCTTGTAAGATAAATCACTCTCCTTGCATAATCTCATTATGGAACTTTCTGCCTGCTCTATTCCAATATGGTCAATATCACGGTTTGGTAGATCTTTGCACGTGTGTTCCCCTTCTTCTTCAAATGACTCATCACATTTTATAATTTTGGCATAACAAGGATCTTTACGGTATCCGCAGTACAAAATATTTTCATTGTCAGGTGACACATAGTATAATTTTTTTTTGAAAATGCATTTGACCGAACCCTTTTTTTTTCCTTTCAGATAGTATATCTACATGAAAAGATTTCAGTGAGAAATGACAGATTTTTAGATATCTAAAAAGTTGAGAAGAGATTTAAGTCTAGATTTGATTTAGAATTGTTACACAAATAAAAATACGTAAAAACTGTAAAAATCAAATTATCACACTATTTTGTAAAAATACGGTTAAAAACTCAAAATACCCAGATTACTTATACAACAATTTTAAAGTATAGACTGTTAACTATCTTTCCCGAAAATTGAAACCAAATCGAAAAGGGTATTTTAGAGTTATGCATCTTTTCCAAAAAGCAGATTTTTAAATCTACTGCGCATGCCTTAAAAGATTGCTCACAAATTACAACAGTAATTGATACTTTTGGAAAATTTCTTATCGACTAGCACCTTTCAAACATTTTGTTTCTACAAAATTAACGTTCTTTAGAGCAGAAATTATTTTTAAAAATGTTTTAACCATTTGTCGTACTCGGATTGGTTGTTGTCTCTTCAGGTATGTTTAAGTGAAAAAATGCTTACTTTTTAATTACAAGAAAAATTTACAAGGTCGAAAATGAAAAATAAAATTTGTTTTACGCAAAATACTTAAGAATTTTGAACAAATTTAAAGTAAAACAATTTTGAACGCAGAATCAAAAAACGAAACCAAAATGTTAATAGCAATTGCATAATCCTTAGAGGCCGTCCATAAATTACGTAAGGTCTTTTGGTAGAGCAGGGAGGAGTGAGTAGAACATTTTTCTATGCTAACTATCAAGGGTGGCTAAGTAAATATAATAACAGCACCATAAAGCGCAAAAATTATATTATAGAAGAAACTACCTAATATTAGGTTATTATTATTAATCTTTATTTATTATTATCTACCATGTTCGTTCCAAAAACGTTTTAAGAATATCTATGTACATACATGGTTTTTTGCCCACTGTGTAGCATTCGGACCTGCCATCGGAGGGTTCCGAAATCTAGTTGAACCCCATTGACAGTATTTTAAAGACAGTATTCTTTTAAAAAAACCTTGTATATTTTATATTTAAAACTTTGAATTTTAATTTTAAAATTCAATGAAATTTTTAAATTTGAAGTCAATAAAAAAATTTTAACATAAATATTCTGAAAACATTAATATTATTTCGTTGATAAATTTTATTTTCAATTAACTCATTAACTCCCATGCTTGGGCAAGTGAAAATATCTTTCCACTTAATACCAGAAAGAAGTTAAAAATTAAAAGTCATAATTTGTTTAAACAAATTGTTATAAACAAATAGGAAACAAATATATTATTTAATAACTTTTAACTCCAAAAATCTTTTTTTGTTTACGGTTATCATTCCCTTATTAACTTTGAAGATATATGCATTTGTTTGAGCTGTGGCTTATTAGACGTATACAGAGTGACTCTTATTATTTATAATTTTTTATATCAAATTGGATGAAAAATATTTGGAACGTAATGTATGTTTCTTCAGTAATATTTCGCGTATAATCGAATAGGGCCATATATTTTTTGTAATTTTCGATTTATTAGTATTGACTATGACTTACTTTTCGTTCTATTGTAGATTAAATTTTAGAACATAAATAAAATTAGACTTCATTGTACATTACTCAAAATAAAAAAATCCATGTTTAATAATTTCATAACTTTCGGACACCAACGGTATTGTCAAATTTTCATACTATTATTGTCTATTATTTATTTATATAATGTATTTTATATTTTACTTTAATATTTTTTATATATTTATATAATGTTAACAAAAATATTCATAAAATTTTATTTAATTTTAAGTTTTATATTTACGTAATTTGTAAAATATTTTTAAATTCTAGAAGTTCTAAACGTTTAACGTTATAATAATTTCATTTTTTCCACAAAAAAGAAATAATTCAAATGAGTGATTATAAAAATAAATAACATAAAAAACTTTTAAAAAATTTTTATTTTGTAAATTTAGGATTTTAAGTTGGATCAACTCCTAAAATTCTACCAATTTTCAGGTGAATCGATGAAATCGTTTTCGAGTGATGCGCGGTCAAAATTTTGGTGACAGACACACCTTTATACACTTTTTTCTTGGTCATTTTTGGATTATAAGTATAATAGTATAAGAAAAAATATAAACAAAATTTTGAATTTTGTGAAAAAATAGATATTTTAAACCAATATTCAATTAAAATAATTTTTGCAATGTATTTGAAGTTTTGAGAATAAATTTTTATAAGAAAATACAGGAGGAAGAAATTACGTAAGATATAGGGAACGGGTAAATCAAAAGTTTGACTTACTGAGCCTTATGAACGTGCGTACGTGGGTCAAAATATAAAAATTTATATATGAAATTTATGGACGGCCCTTTATGAACCCTAATACAAGCTCATAAAATTTTGTCCAGTTCGATGTTCAGCTACATTGTTGTTTCAACGTTTAAGCTTTAAAAACTTCAAACAATAAAATAATTCTGTCTTTAAGAACAAAAAACCAGACCAAAACGGACGGATGTAAATGAGTGATTTATAAGGTGCAGCGTTATAGAAGACTAGTAAGAATTAGATGAGATTTTTTGCGTATTTACATAATTCTTTTATTTTTGACAGTGATCTGACTTCTTATTGGAAAGAAAGAAAAAGAGATTGAAATTAAAAGCTTTGAAAACGTAAGATGCAACATTTATTAACACGTGTACGTGTCTTTTAAATACTATAAATCTGAAAACATAAGTATATTCAAAAAACTTAAATAGAGTATAGAACAAATTTCATTAAATGAACGGGTTGAGGCGTTAAGAAAAGAATTATTACTACACAAAATTTTCTGCGTTTTGCAAATAAATACTTCTATTGATGAATCAGCAAATATCAAGTTTCGTGTATAAGTCTTGATACTATGCATGTAAGAAAAAGCAAAAATTTGTTATTTTTGTATTTAACATTTAGTGCAAAAATTATTCTTTACTAGTGATAAAATTAAGTAAAACTCTAGCTATGGAATGATTAAGAAAAAAAGCATCACCTTATCATCGTTATACTCCGCTTCTTGTAAGCAGTCATTAAGAATAACTTCCACAATACCAGACATCTTGCACTATAAAAAGTTCAAAAAATTTTAAAACAGTAAATCGCTTCTCATTTAAACATTTATGGAGAGGACTTGATATTATTAACGTTTTTCTTGATAAGCATAATAATTGGGTACTGAGATTCTGCGCATAAAAAAGCAACATACTACAAGTTAATGTACATACATTATTGATGATGATGTTCACTTGTAGATCTATCATTATTGAAAACTTCCAGTTTTGATTTACAAGTTTTAGGGTAAGTGCACTAATAACGGTGCGATTCAAGTCAAAACACTTTTATAATAGTAAATTCGAAATTTCTATTGTAAAAAGTCAATTTAAGACTTATTAAACTAAAAGCTTATGTTTTTTAGATATTAAAAAGAATTTCAAATTTTATAAAAAATGATTATTTAAACAAATATGAGAAATTAAAACTAATACCGTAATTTTGAAGATACTTTGCTCACCGTAATTGAAGCCAATGGAAATCTAAAAAATGTTTCAATTACAGCGAGTCTAAAAATTTGATATTAAAAAAATTAATCAATTAATAATTTTTAAATGTGCATCTTTATTACTGATTGTATCAAAAAAAGATTAACATAATTTTTTTAAAGGGTTACATGGGTCAAATGGCCAAAAACTGTATGTGATCTTAGAATTTTTTTATATAATAAATAAATTATTTTATTTGAGCACTTAGTTTTCTTAAAGTACACTATAAAATAAGTAAGTTATGAAATTTTTGTTAATAAATATTAGAAATTAAGCCAATGGCAACATATTCTTTGAGAACCTTTCCCAAATAAGTAATTTTGCGATAGCCACGATATCTAATGACTACTTCATCAAAAAGAAAAAAAACAAATATTTTCTATTAGTAGATAAGTATAGCTCGAGATTAAACGAAAAGTTTTTAAAAAAATTTAAATTTTTGTCACAAAGGAAAATTTTTGGGGACATTTAGACATAATTAATACTATGTAGAAGAAGTGTGACAAATTTCAGAAAAATCGGTTAATTAGTTTTTGAGAAATTACTGTTTACGAATCTGGTGTCAGTTTTTCAAAATTAAAAAAGGGTTAAAAGTAATTAACAAGCATTTGCACTAGGTGCCAGTCGAAACAAAACAAAAATTTTTTTAATTCTTTCACTTTCCTAAAGTTTTACTCACATTATCTCAAAACTTTGGGAAAATCTTCTTGAAATTTTATACTATCAAATAAGAAACGAAAAAAAACTTCGATTTTTTTACCCATGTAACCCCTGAAATCATTTTGCAACAGTTATATTACATATAATAGTTATTTTTTATGAACGCGCCGTAATTAATGCACTAAGTTATTAAGTTGTAGAAATTAAGTGAACCTAAGAAAATGGAAATTATTCTTATCAAAAAATTCGCGTGTATTTTTATATGAAAATTTGAGGCTTAAATTTTCTTATCGTTTTTTTCATTTTTCGTTCGTATTTTTATTAGGTAGAATATTTAATATTTTTCTTATTGAGGATTTAAAGATTTGAAAACTTTAATTAATAAATATAGCTCAGGGGTAAAGCACCGTATCTTGCGGTTCTCTAAATTAAAGGTGTATTGTCCCTTGTCAGCGTGAAAACCTCGGCGGAAATATTTAACTATTTGATTGAAAAAGAAAGTAACATCTATTCATCTCCCTTACACTCATGGTTTACGCTTTCCGCTGACATGGGACGGCGCCTTAAGTAACTTTTAATACAGTTACTATTTACATATTTAATCGCATTACGATTGTATAAACAATTATAAAATAAATGCTATTTTTAACATATATACAATAATAATTACATTATTATCGAATAATCAAACTAATAATTTACATTAAAAATGAAGACAATATGTGAAATTTTTTAATTGAATTATTTTTGTGAAATTATATTACTAGTCATAATTTTCAACAATAAATTTTAGAAAACATTAAATAAATATCTAAACAATAAAATTATTTAAAAATAAGAAAAAAGGGTATTACATAAAAATAACCCAAAATAACTAAAAATTTCATTGCTTTGTCCAAAAATTTACAAAAAAAATTTATCACAAAAAAAACTTAATTTTTATTACACACAATAATAGGGAAATACAGATTTCAATAAAATAGCAATTTCTAAATAAAAAAAAAAATTAAATACCTAATAAATATTTATAATTGTTAAAATCAATACAATTCAATATAATGACAATTATTTTGAATTTAAATCTCACCACCAAATCTAAAAGAATGGAAAATTATATACTCAGGTAGTGTCAATTTGAATTAATTATCAAATTAATATTTATATTGTATTTATTTTAAAAATATGATTTGTAATACTTAAAATTATTTAAAAAATAATTAAGTCTTATAATGACTGTAAACTATTAAAAATATCAACAAAAAATGAAAGTTTATTTCTTTTCATTTAAATGCAAACTTTAATGTCTTTTAACTAAAATCTGTAAACAATAAACAACAAATTTTTAATTCAAGTTCATTAAATTGTTTTCTTAAAATGTAAAATTTGAAGACTTAACCACAATTCGTTTAAATGTCACACAAATTTAATTTAAAATTCAAAAAGAAGTCCACACAAAAAGTGAACCGCAAATTAATGCTTATTTAATTAACAAATAAAATATTTATTTGTGAAAACATAATTTAAGACGTCAATTCCAAGGTAAATCAGATGCATGAGAAACTACTGGATTTATTTAGAACAAAAATAAATAAAAATATTTTTAAAAAATAGTATACAATTAGTAAAGTGGAAATAAACGATATGCATATTAGTGAAAGTAAACGAAAAATAAAACCACGTATAAATGAATGTCTAAGTCAGTACAATTTATCACAAAAGTAATTTTTTTAAATTATAAATTTACCCCAAATCCAAAAGAACAGGAACTTACTAAAACTTGTATCGTGGAGAAACACGTCACTTTCAATTTGCAATATATTTTAACATTTTGGATAATAAATAACCATATTAATTTTTGATGGCAATAACAATAGCTATGAAACTGTTTTCTTTTTAGTTTCTATGACAAACAAAAGTACAACGTTTTTCTCACTGGTGATAGCCAATTCATAAATTTAATAGAAATTTAAAAAAAAATTAAATACATTAAATTCTTTTATTAATTTAAAAAACAAAAATTAAAATAACAATAAAACTTATTAAAAATTTACTGCAAATGAAAGTCCCATCCAGTGTCAGATAAAGATGCTTCTATAGGTTTGGTTTGGTTTAGTTTAGGTTGACTCCACAATAGACAAGCTTTTTTTAATGTATGCATAGCTTAAGGCCTGAGCAGAATAGAAACGCAACCGGAATCGTAATCGCAAACGCAACCGGAAGAATGAGTTAGAGAAGGACAAACAATTTGTCCCTCCTTCTATAACTCATTCTTCCGGTTGCGATTACGATTGCGTTCTCGTTCAAGAATCTATTCTGCTTAAGCCTTAAAGGCCTAAGCAGAACTAATTCTTGAACGGGAACGCAAACGTAATGGAATGAGTAAGAGAAGGATAGACATAATGTTTGTCCTTCTCTTACTCATTCCATTCCGTTTGCGTTCCCGTTCAAGAATTAGTTGTGCGTTGGCCTTAAGTCGGGTGCGGGATTTGGGGCCCCTAACCTCAAAATGTATGAAAATGCAGTTTTAAAAAAAGCGTTACGTAATTAAGTATGGTCTCTTACCATGACGACCCTACCTAGATAGCTGATTGTGAGCTGTGGCCGTACCCTTAAAGGCCTTTCTCCAATAGGAACCTAAACTTTTGCGTTGCGTGACTGACGCGTTGATTTTAGCATTGGTTGCCAATAGCAACCGACGCAATGCATACGCAACGCAAGAGTTTAGGATCCTATTGGAGAAAGGCCTTTAAAGGCCTGAGCCGAAATCGTAATCGCAACCGGAAGAATGAGTTATAGAAGGAGGGACAAATTGTTTGTCCTTCTCTAACTCATTCTTCCGGTTGCGTTTGCGATTACGATTCCGGTTGCGTTTCTATTCTGCTCAGGCCTTAAGCTATGCCTACATTAAAAAAGCTTGTCTATTGTGGAGTCAACCTAAACTAAACCAAACCAAACCTATAGAAGCATCTTTATCTGACACTGGATGGGACTTTCATTTGCAGTAAATTTTTAATAAGTTTTATTGTTATTTTAATTTTTGTTTTTTAAATTAATAAAAGAATTTAATGTATTTAATTTTTTTTTAAATTTCTATTAAATTTATGAATTGGCTATCACCAGTGAGAAAAACGTTGTACTTTTGTTTGTCATAGAAACTAAAAAGAAAACAGTTTCATAGCTATTGTTATTGCCATCAAAAATTAATATGGTTATTTATTATCCAAAATGTTAAAATATATTGCAAATTGAAAGTGACGTGTTTCTCCACGATACAAGTTTTAGTAAGTTCCTGTTCTTTTGGATTTGGGGTAAATTTATAATTTAAAAAAATTACTTTTGTGATAAATTGTACTGACTTAGACATTCATTTATACGTGGTTTTATTTTTCGTTTACTTTCACTGATATGCATATCGTTCATTTCCACTTTACTAATTGTGTACTATTTTTTAAAAATATTTTTATTTATTTTTGTTCTAAATAAAAAACAATTTTATTCTTTTATTGCATTAAATAGTTCTTTAAAAATAAAAAATAAAATCCTAATATACCAATGTTCGAAAATTTTATTTGAGCGATATATTTAAAAAATTAGACTTTATCACATATACTTTCAATATTAAATAGTGTACCAGTAAGTCTATCTTGAATTTTCTCCCACCTAACTTGAACTACCTAATGTAAGGGTATTGGGCCAACGTAGAATGAAATCTCTAATCATAATCTTAAGCTTTTACATGAGAGAGAAAAGGATAGAAATATGTTTTGTCCTTTTCTCTTTTCTTGTAAATCTTTTAAGATTTACGATTAGAAATTTTATTCTGCGTTGGACCATTAGGTAGGCTGTTTTCAAATTCGGATTTTTGTCGCACTTTTGATAAAATGTATACTTGCGAAGTATGCAGTGTCTTTTTTTCGCACGGAAAAACAAGAACACCCCCCACAGCACCGAAACTTTCTTAAAGATTTCCTAAAGATTTATTTGAAATGTTCGGAATATTCAATTGCAAAGTTTAGTGAAAATTGTGTAAAGATTTAAATGACCCGATAAAATAAATATTTAGAGTGAACATTTCTGAACATTTCCTAAACATTTCAATGAAATTTTCAGGAAAGATTCGCTCTATACATTTATTCAAGTGGGACATTTAAATCTTTACACAATTTTCACTAAAATTGCAATTAAATATTCCGAACATTTCAAATAAATCTTTATTAGGAAAATTTAGGTGCTGTGGGGGACTGCATACTTCCCGAGTGTACACTTTATCAAAAGTGCGACCAAAATCCCAATTTGGAAACAGCCGTATAGTTACCACTGAAGTCTATATATCTGGAATGACATATGCATAGAGATAATATAAATAGAGTAGACAAGGTATAGGCGGCTGCGTAAGAGGGAAGTGTCCTGACATAAACAGAATGGGTTGGAAAGAGAAGAAAGATTTAACACCAGTATCTGTCCTTCAATAAGCACCAGCGCAAGAGAGACACCTACTGGTGCTAAAATCGCGTTCTCTTTCTATCAAACGGACGCCTCTATACAGACCATCTCCACTCTATTTATATTATCTCTATGGACATATGCCATTGAAAGGCACAAGCCGAGAGAGGCGGTTGATTTTTGTATTCCTCTCTTTGTCGGTAATGGTCTATTAGAAAATATTTAACAGTATATGTGAACATGACATAACACAGTTAACAACAAACGTAAGGCGCCGTTCCATGTCAGCGTGAAACGCCGGCGTAAAAGCGGAAAGCATAAGAATGAAAGAAATAGTGAGATATGTTCATCTCTTTCGTTCTCATGCTTTCCACTTTTACACCAGCGATTCACGCTGTCATGTGACGACCATATGAAGGTGATCTATTCAGCCGTTTTTTAGCGCATACTTAATAAAATGTATACTCGGGCCGTTTCTGAATTGTTATTTTTAGCGCATATTTATAAAGGCCGTTTCCGAATGGGGATTTTTAGCGCATTTTTGATATAAATATAAATAAAGCATACTTTCTGAATATACACTTTATCAAAAATGAGCTAAAAATTCCAATTCGGAAACGGCCAAATTCAGTGTCTTAAAATCATAAACAAATATTTTTGTTCGCGATTGGTATCAATGCTTTGATGACGTCACTGCGCTTGGGAACCAACGCGTCAGTCACGTAACGCAAACATTTAGGAACCTACTGGAGAAAGGCCTATATCTTCCTAAGGCCCTCTCCAGAATGGAGCCAAACACAGACGCGACGCAGCGCAATGCTGAGCAAATGGGGATGCGTCGCGTTTGCGTTGCGTTTAGCTCCATTCTGGAAAGGGCCAATCGCGAACAAAAAGTTTGATTTATGTTCCTCTTATCCCTGTTTTCCAACTTTACAATTTTAAATGCAAATGTTTCTTGACGGCTTTTAATAATTTTAATTATTTAATATTTATAATTAAAAAATGTCGTGTCTTAAAATCATAAACCAAACTTTTTGTTCGCAATTGGTATCAATGCTTTGATGATGTCACTGCGCTTGCAAACCAACGCATCAGTCACGCAACGCAAACATTTAGGAACCTATTGGAGAAAGGCCTTCAAGGTTAAGTCCAGAATAGACAAAAAACACGAATGTATACGTAACGTGAACGTAACGTATCCATTTAAAATGCTGACTCTACATTGGCTGCGCAAACGTGAACGTGCTGACGTCACAATGTTATTCAAATGGGTGACGTCAGCACGTTCACGTTCACGTACACGTTTACGCAGCCAATGTAGAGTCAGCAAAATACATTGTGACGTTACGTATACGTTCATGTTTTTGGTCTATTCTGGACAGGCCCCAATAAGGTTATTCAAGTTGGGTGGGGGAAAGCCAAGATGGTTGCTTGCTGGTGCACCTATCAGCCTATCAGCATTCATTCCCATGAGAAATTTCTCGTGGGAATGAATGCTGATAGGCTGATAGGTGCACCAGCAAGCAACCATCTTGGCTTTCCCCCACCCAACTTGAATAACCTTATAAGCGCGTCGGACGTGGACGCGAAAGTGACTGTGCTGACGTCACAATGTTATTCAAATGTTTGACGTCAGCACGTCCACGTCCGACGCGCTTATTGTAAAACCAACTTTAAGGTCGCATTGGAGACAGACCATTATGCAAACATTGAAAAAATGAAGTTGTTGAAGCAGATTAAAATCTATAGTTGGTGTTATGGTGACATAAAACAGACAACATATTAATTTTTCACAAAAAAAAATTTGATTGTCGTCAAGTGTAGACCTATTTATTTATTAGTGTTATACGTTTTAAATATATTTAAATCTATTGGAATGGTGTTTTCCTTATAATCCTTTTACTTGTTACTTAGAGGTTATTCGTTTATTTTGTAATTACTATTTCGTTTTATTCTTGATAAAGGTAAGATTTTTCTTTTTATTAATAAGAGGCCTGAGTGCCGCTGACTATTATGTCATCTTTTTAAAATCCAAATCATTGCAATCATGATTCTGATTCTTATGGTTACCCTCACGATTAAATCATGACTGACCAATCTTTAAAAAATTTAAATAAAGAAAATTAAATCTTGTCTAATTCTCAAAATCAAATTACTTTAAAGTTTAATAAACGTAATTCTTTACAGTTAAAAAAAATAATCATGATTTGACAAAAAGATATTAAAAAATAAATTTCCTTTTTAAAATTACGGTCATTATATAGTAACTGTTAAAACTAAAGATAATTCTGCTTTACATCCTTTCAAATGTGGTAAAATCTTATATAAAAATTTTAAATGTTCTATTAAAAATATTGAAAAACAGGTCTTTCGCATGTTATGGTTACTTGTGTAAATAGTGAAAGTGCTAATAAAATTGTGAACAATAATGATTTTTTTTCAACTGGCAATTTATCTGATTTTATTTTAAACTTTAATATTTTGAGAGAAGAAATTGTTCGACTAGTTTGATATTAAAAAAATTATATTATTAAAGATTCTACAAATGATTTAAATCTTTCAATTCTTGAAGCACGTAGAATTTTTAATTAAAAATGATAAAAGTGAATTAATTACATGTTCAAGTTAAATTTGAAGGTCAAAAATTACAAAATTTT